GGCGATTATAATATTTTTAAACCAAAATGTAAATCAGTGTTAATATATTGTATTATTCAGTAATGTCACTACCGATTTGACAATAATGTCACTCTTATTTTGATTTTGCATTACGCAGGCTATGATACTATGATACATTTCTATCACGATTCACTGGAAAGTTTATTTCATGTAAATAGGGATATTCCTGTAGTCAAATGATCTTCAAATGATTACCAATGCTATAGATGACATTCTTGCAATGCTCCGAACATGTTTCACGCGATGGCATAGATTTTATAGATAGCGAGTCGACAGAACAAAAAGTTTAGTTGAAATATCTGTAGTGTACAAGTTGCATTTATGATCTATTTTTCTCTAGTGGCATTCTACAACATGCTTGATATACAAACAAACGCATATCACGTATAGAAAATCAGTTTCTATCTCCCATGACTACACATTATTTGTAATAATTACTGTAATAATAATGTTTGATTATCCGTTGATAACATGTAATAAAATGTCATTCTATATTTGAAATCTTGGAGTGTTTACATTGAAGAATTGGATAGGATGTAAGGAAAACTGTGTTTTAATCAGAGTGCAACAAGGTTACATCTCATCAGAGTACTAATAACTTATAATATGTTTATATAAGGATATGTCAGAAACCGGAAATTAAGGGAATGTTATGCTCGATTTACTTGCCAGAGTTACGACAAGATAAATAAATACCCCCTTGACATTCAAACACTTGGCCCATTGTTATCAAGCGAATGTTTTTTGTACAAGGATGTTATTATCACAACCGACACATGGAACTTACTTAGTGGCTACACAATCTAAATGTATTTCTGTCATTTCGCTAAAATTCAACTTCAAAAAAAAGCTAGATTATTCTAGTTATAATGTTAAACAAAACAGTTACAAGCATACATTGCCCATCAAGCAAGATACAGGACACACAGTTTTTAATTGGATTTTGAAATGCGATTAATTGTATTTTAACGTTACTTTTGTTTTTATAACACAACAACAGAAAACTACAGCATTTAAGGTTCACAATATAACTACCAGGGAAATCTCATTGTCTGTAAAACTTGGCACAGATTGTATTTAAACTAGTTTTTATTTGTAAATCAGTATTTAAAATATGCAGCCTATTTATGTTAGGCAGTTCACCTATTTTAGTCTACTAGTTGGGGTTATTATTGTGACCTCACTCGTTTGAAATCTGCCATAAAATTATGAACATGCCATGCAATACATTATTTACATGACGACAGAAGAATTTCATCATACACACTGGCTACACACTTAATGCCAATACACAGTAAATAGATAGGCGACATCGAATCTAGCACATAAATCCTTTTTTTAGTTCTTTTAGTGCCTTTTGTTTTTATTTAATTTTAACGGTTCTCTCGTTTTTCCGCCCTCAGTGGCCAACAATAAGAACAAGGATATTGCATATGATACTCGTTAGGAGCGCAGTTCAACCTGAAACAGGAGAAGGATGTAAAGTGTTATAACTTATTTGCATTTTATTATCGGGTTTTGTAATTTCTGACGGTAATTAGCGTAATTAGCTACAGAAACCATATTCGATGTTTGGAATTACGTGACAGAGATTTGCCGCCATCTATTCAAATCGTAATGCTGGTAGTATGATGAGTTAATGCAGTGTTTAATGTGACGTGAAGATTGGAGACATTTGGAAGAAGCAGACGACACTCTTTAGGTGGCAACAGGTGATAATGGCGAATGGGCGGCATGTATAAGATATCCATTAACCCGTGGAACGAAGATGACACAGACGATGATAAGTTGACCTTTGAACCTCTTCTGACAGAATGCGTTGGGCAACAATAAAAAACCTAGCTTGTTAAAACTAGTGTAAATTAAAAGATTTATTGTACATTAAAATTATCTGGCACTTTATTGATATTAATACGTTTATAATGAAATAAAACTTAACCATGCTGGGCGAACAAAATATCTCTTTGTTTGCTTTTTGTTTGCCGCTTACCCCCCTCAATAATTTGGTTAATCTTTTATGATATCAACATAGGCAAGTGGAGATATGACAGCGCAGTGAACGGCGGACCAACTCGATCTTTTGTCGCGGGCGTCAAACTTACGAAACGTGTAACTGACTTTAAAGGTGGGTATGCATATACAGTATACGACAGAGCAATTTGATGTAAGGCATTTCTTCACAGGGTGTGTTGCATAATTACACAAATAAACACATAAGTTTGGCACACTAAGCCCGGTGAAAAGCCTTGTTACGAGCCTCGTTGTTATCCCGATTTTCAAGTGTATGGGTTTAAACTGGCAAATTCTGCCTTATAAACGGATCCTTTTAAAGGCTCCGATCAAGATGGGGCATCTTACTTATTGATTCCGGGTTCGACGTACTACTCCGTTGTGTATACAATACACAGCCTTAGCCGCAATCAGTCACGCACGCACACTCGATACATGAGTCGCATAGTTTGCATAACACTCGAGAAGAACAGAGAACTGAAACGTGTATTGCATTTAGAATACGGCCGATTTATCCGTTGTTTCCTCGACACGTAAAATAGGTTGTGTCTGCCCGGCGTTTGTTGCCGTTAGTTGTCATGGTTTTGCGACGATGATTCCATTATTTGACATTTTTGTCGCCATTTGCTTTCCCGACAATATTTACATGCTAGTTTTTGGGGGATTTTCGATTTTCGGGTTTGAATTTTATAGTGTCTACGGGTTTTTGTACAAATGCTCACAAATAGTGTTTATTGTGGTCGAACGTTTGGACATACAGACACTATAAATGGGCCCATTAGCTGCAGTTAATCATTCGTGTTGTATTTTAAAGTAGCTATCCAGAAATGAGCTCAGGCTCAAGTAGGATTTCTCATTGCTAGTTTTGTATTAGGAGCTAAAGTGTGAAACCGTATATTGTACTATAGGCGATGTCGCTGAGTGGTACCAGAATGACTAAGGGCTGTACCATTTGTAATCTTGGGGGCTGGCATAAACATCTCTGGAATAAGTACTAGTATAACATTTTTCAGTAAAATAAAATTACAAGTAATGACAGTGAAAAAAAAAAGAAAATTTATTCTACCAACATTCTCTCTTGACGCCACAATTCTCTTATGAAACGTCCCCATGTTTTATCTAGAATTAAAAGTATTATACAAAATCACTTATATATTTACATACCCAGTGAGTATAATGAAAAATGTTCTAAATGTTATGGCAAATCTCAAATAACTGAGGTCACATTAATAGCGTCAGATAAATATGCAAAAAAGATAGGTGAACTGCCCACTAGAAATAGACTGTTTTTTGTATAACAGATTTACAGATCAAAACTTGGTTGTAACAATTTGTGCCAAGTCTTTCCCTTGTAGTTATACTATGAACATAATACACATATACACCCTGCCTTTTGCCATTTTTGTCCGTAAAAATTATCACGTCACATAGGAAATAATAATAGTGAAGACTGGTGTATTTGGCGTTTGAAGTTAAAAATGGATGCGTAGTCGTCTCTGCGCATGACATGGTAACCAACTATGTACCAGATATGGTATCGTCCAAAACGTATGGTTTTGCTGAGCCAGCCATCCATGACCGTTCCTACGAAGCCGTATATGATTGGGTCATGAAGTCAAGTCAAAAAACTTTAAAGGGCGGCAGTCGTCATGCCGTGTCCTGTTCGATATGGGACTCATAGCGACGTATAAAACACATGTAAAATACTACATAGTTTGTTTACATGAAATTATAACCCGTGCTACGCGAAGACCACCGCGCTTTAAGAGCTGGGTCCATTAATCAGCGTTCCATTAATGACAGTTCGTATCAATTTGAAATTTAAACCAATAGATTTTGTCGCCTTGTAACTACTATGTCTTACTGTTAAAAACACACGACTTCGCATCCGATTCCACATTGAGAGTGATAATTCTAACAAAGTATCATTATACGGCTGAATAAATGAACATTGACTGGGAAAGATGCAGATACGACTACCCACTCATTTCCGCATTTTGAAACGCTGAATACTCTGACAATGTGCTAAGTTGTTTGTTTTCTGTTTTCACCAGTCTTCAGTCTTGGAAAATGATATTTGAAAAAAGTTAGGTGAAGGAAAATTTGAATAAATACAAAACGATGCAAATAATGGGAGATTTGGCGGCAATTGTTTTACATTAAATATGTTGAGAAATATGACAGAGAAATCTATTAACTTAAAATAAAATAAATAACACTGCACTATGTCCCGTTTCACAGAATAAAAACATCCAATAAATAATACATTCTCATCTGTGTGAGTTGGCAATACATGCTCATCTTAACTCCTTTACAGTGACATCCACATTACATTTGACACGCGAACCAGAAAATACACTAACGTCACTTCCTTTCAGTAGTTCCGTAGTTCCGTACTTCATTCCAAGTTAAGTAGTCAAAAGCGTGATTGACAGCTGGTGACAGTGTGGTGATTTGAGAATGTTATAAAAGATTAGTTGTAAATAACAAGTTTGAGTACTTACTGTCTTTCAAGAGGAAAAAAAGTAAACTTGAAAGGAAGTATGAAACTTCTGAAATAAAAGTGTTTCCCTGTGCTCACACATCAAATGTCAAATTTACCAGACAAGAACTTTGAATTTATGAAAGAAAATGTGCTTGTGTGAGACTGTATAAATAAAATGTTTGATTCCAGTGGAAGGGAACATAAATTTGCGCAAAAAAAAATGATGAGGTGCAAAAATACCTTGCATTACTTGACATGTTCATAATCCCACCCCGGGTTTTCGAATGGTGTATCTCTAAAATCCGTCAAAATGATATTGATATTGCGTTGTGACATCATTGTGACATCATGTATCATAGCTATTTGCTTCTTGGGGTTTTGAGCTTACGTCACTTCCTCTATCAAAAAATATAATTGTATGCACGAATAATAACCACGATATAATTATTCATTGTTTTCAGAATCTAGGATATAAGAGCAAAAAATGAGGCTGACGAAGATATGGAAATATGCATTTATCAATCTGCCATTTGTCGTCGCCTTCAGTTTGTTCGTCTTCTTTACGACTGAAAAGGATGGGCTGAGGGGAAATTTAGCTGGTCGGGTTGAGGTCGTAAAGGTGCTTCCTGCATCAACAGAGCCTTCTTTGAATACTTTTGTTTGCAACGACGGTGTTTTTCTCGTAACCATGGTGATATCACACTTCGGTCATTTCCATGAAAGGTATCTAATTCGTAAAACGTGGGGAGGTGTGAAACGCGTACATGATATTGATATTCGAACTGTGTTTCTGCTCGGAAAAGATCGAGAACATCATCCAGGAACAGTTAGGCACCGAAATCAGCAGACCGTGTTAGAAAAAGTACGGAAAGAGAATGCGCTACACGGTGACATCATCGTTCTTGACCTTGTTGATCACTATTTGAACTTGACTTTGAAAACTCTACAGGGTCTGAATATCATTACAAACAATTGCTCGTCAGCTGAATATGTTCTAAAAGTGGACGACGACGTTTTTATCAATTACGATTTGTTAGTTAAACATATTTCCTACAGTGCCCGCGAAAATTTTGTGATCGGATATTTGCATGAGAACGCCCGACCCATACGGTCGGCACAGTCGCCGGAATACGCAAAGTGGTTCACTCCAATAACTACTTATAACCGGACTTATTATCCGCCATATTTGATCGGCCCTGCTTATGTCATGTCACATGATGTTGCCAAGGCGATAGTTCAAATATCTCCGCAGGTGCCCTTCCTTCCCTGGGAGGACGTTTTTATCACAGGCTTGTGTCTGGAAAAATTGAAAATGACGCCAAAAATGGACAAGCGTTTCGACACCAATGGTGAACAGTTCAAGCAGAATGTCTCATGTCCAATCAACAGATTGTTTGCAATTCACAACCACGGCAGTCTGTCTCAGGTTTGGACCTTGTTTCGAAATGAAAACAGAGATACACATTGTAAGGACCGAACACTAGCCTTCGAGCAAGCAGGAAATTCAGAGTGAGAGAACAAAAAACAACAATGTGATTGTTGATAGACTAACTGTGTGAGAAATATTGCACAAACCAGGAGTTATTCTCTCGGGGTGATAAGAAAACGAACTTAGTTTAGTCCACAACGCATGCGTCAACATTTACAACGCTACGTTTTAGTAGTAGGAAATTCCGTTTATATTCGAACACTATTGAGACTTCATCACATTGATAGCATGTCTCACAGAACAGTTGCATCTGATCCTTGAACGCCAATATTTCGCTGCCAACATTTTTCAAAAGTTAAGTTTGTCGTGAAAGTTATACAGAGTCAATATGTATACTTTTGGATATTTTATTTTACAATCGCTATAATATGATTGATCGGTAACTGGATGTCACGTACAATATTCCTCTACAGGAATAAAGCGCATGCGCATTCGTATAACTTGTGCGTACCACGAATTCAACAAACATGCGCAATTTATTATTTCACCATTTTCACATTGGATTATTGTTCAGTGTGAGTAGAATATACTATCGAATACACATACAAAATATTGGAAGAGGGCAAAGTTCATGTATTTGTTTTATAATTTTTTTTTATTCTTATATATATAATATATATTACTTGCTGTAGACCAAGATTTACATTGCACTGCGTTTTAGTAGTTACATTTATGAATTACTCGCACGTCGTCATATTGATGATATATTAAATATTTACAGATTTTACAATGTTTTGTATTATCTATGTTGTAGTGTATTACGTTCATAAACCTGTATTTCGTATATTAGTGTTGGTATTTGACATTTGTGCATTTCTTATAAATGCTTTTGTAATTGAGTCACAGTCGTGTTTTTACATCAAAATTCCGAATTGCTAAAGTTAGATTTTATTCATTTTCCTGCCCTGTAAGACAGGATTGTACACGAAATTGTGTTTGCAGTAGAAACATGGTCTTATAACACATTTTTATTTATACGGAAATTACTTGTTCGTACTGAATATATAGCTGACGCCAGCAGGATGGAGTAACGAGCGATACTGTGCGAGCCATTATATCACGTGGTTCAATTCAACCAATCACTGAATTGTTCAAATTCATTAGGAAATTGTTCTTTTCTAACAATGGCAAGATTAATTGTTCGTATTCCAACATAATCAACAAATTTGGCTGTTAAAAGTGAGGTGAGGCGATTTTTGTCCTAATGATTTTTTGTAAATCAATAGAAATTAACTTGTTCTAGTCTAAAATATGCATTTGAATTTATAGTTTTACTGAGTCTTAGATTTAATAATCTGCAATTACACAATGTATTTCAGAATACAAATGATATGTTGGAAATAGCACCAAGCTGATATAAACGAGGTGGTAAGACAAAACCATTCGCAAAATACACTGCCAAACTACTGAATAAATAAAAAATAATCAAATACTTATCAGCAATCTACATGCCAGGAATAACATCACATTTAATGCGATTACTAAAAAATGCCTAATATCAAAATCATCTATGAAAGTCAATAAACGACAGAGCACTGTGTTGAAAAACAATTTAATCATATTGGCAGAATAAATCTTATAAGAACACTATAACACAAGAAGTAAAATGTTTGGAACCAGAAGCAACAAATTAAAGAACTAAATTATTTTAGCTGAAACTCAGATTCTATGGTATTCTGAAAATCAACAAACAAAAAATAACATAAAGGTACTGACAATACAACACTCTTCTTAGATAAATCACTCACAAGTCACAAGTGAAAACAAACTAATAGCAGAAGACAAAAAGAATAAGTGCTCTTTTAGTAAGGAAAAGAAACTAACCTGATTAATTATATGAACTAGAAGATCACAAAAGAAGATGTGAAATGGTTGTTTGTAAAGTGGCTAAAACATAACAAGCTATGTGGAACCGACGGCATGTCTGATGAAATACTAAAGTACAGCCATGCAACCATGATAAAAGTTCTACAAAAATGTTAAAAAATGGCAATACCGGACGATTGAAACATTAGTATTCTAATGTCAGTACATAAACATCTCGGACACCACACAGAAAGAATGAAGATCAAAGTTGGAAATGAGGAAATTGAAAAAAAAAAAAAACATACATGTATTAGTGTGAAATTTAATACAACCACGTGACCTAAAACAAATGTATTGAAACAACCCAACTACCAATTTTAACCTATGCTGAAGAAATATGGGAACTGAGAACGAACTGGAGTAGATAGAACAAAACTATCACAAAAAAGTACCACTTTTGTAGGCACATAGAAAATGTTGATAACACTACCAGTAACACGATAGAATGGGTGCAGGTGTAACTCCCACTGGTGTGTGCCTTACAATACAAAGCTCTCATGTATTGCACACACCTTTGTCCATTAATGAAAAAAAATGTAACATACCATGCACCAAAATAATCGAACAACTGGTTATCTAAATTGCATGATCTGAAGAAAATATAAAACAAACAACACTTCCAAGACCTATGTTAGAATATTATATCAATATATGAATAAGAAACATGAACAGAACTGACTCAAAGTTAAGGACTTTCAAAACTATTCAATAATAACATGAACAACTTTTACTAAAAGGGACGACAGAAAAGCAATCGGGTTATTTGCAATATTCAGAATGAGTTTCCACCTGCAAAAAATGTAACAAAATTGAAAACGAACAACATTTTACAACCGACTATAATTGTAATGCAAACGGTAGAGAAAATATATATGCAACAGTCAAAACCTGTATACACATTTAGATGGATTCCGAGATATGACCAACCATGAAAAATAATGAGCAACCAAAACATTACATTAATCAAATAAAATATAATGTACATTATATGTACAGTTCAGTTTTTTGTATTTTTCAGTAAATACAATTACGTGAAACCTTTATTAACATATTTACCGAAAAAAAATGTCACATTAACTTTACGGTGTTTATAAACACCTGGCCTTGTGTGTTGTACATTGTTGGATGTTGTGAGTTTAGATTAGACTTATGTGTTCGAATATAGCGTCAATTGAGGGCGCATTTCCTCGCAGACATTAACCCTTACCCTGCCAACGCCTTGTAGGTTTACATTGATTTGACCACATAAGAGTTAAATACAAAAACTCGTATGACTCGCCGATAAGATACTACGAGATAATTTAGTTTATCTGACAAATAATCTAGGGCGGCGTCAAGTACTATAATTAGAAACAAAACTGTTTGAATCGTATTTATATATTTGGTGTGTGCCTGGTACTGCATGTTAAACACGGTGTGTTCACGACTCTGTCGAAACAGTTTGTTTGTTTGTAGTGCAATGTTTTGTGTTCTCAGACTTGTGATTGGACATGATTTCATCTCTATATTTTCTAAATCAACACAGTCGTTGCACCGCGTCGTGTTCGATATGTGTTCCATGCAACGTGTACAACACGTGCAAAATACATTGTTTGTTTACATCAATTGCAAATGCGGTGCACGACAACTATGTACTATGTACAAATGACAACCGACTTTACTACTTTAAACGAGATATCATACTGTAAAACATGTTGAAAAAGCGACATACTATTTTAGCGAATTGTGATAAAATGACGTACTCTAAATCTACTAATTTTCACTGGGTTTAAATTTCACTGATTTACTATTTCAGGCATATTCAGTGGGTTTTAAATTCACGGTTTTATCATTTAGATAATGTGTTCTATGCTAAATTTTACATATTCACTGGGTTTTAATTTAGCGCATTTTCCAGTCAGCGAAATAAGCTAAATTAAAACCCAGTGAATAATTAACCCCATACAGTATTAGCGAATTTCTCTTGTTTTTGTTGATTTTCTGTTTTCATAATACTTGTCTGTCGCCTGCCAAAACAAATGCGCAGTTATCCCCTGCATAAAACAAAGAAAACTGGCTAGTGTAATAAGGAAGCGCTCCAGATTATTACGTTTTCTGTGTTGTTTACAGAGTGTGTGTGTTGAAAAAAAGACATTGTTAAGCCGCCATTTTGAATTTATAATGAAGTCATTAGCGACATCTTAAATTAGCGAATAAGTTCTCTCGCTAAAATCGCTAAAAATACATGTTTTACAGTATATACGGAGCCGTATACTTAGTCACGTGACAGCAACAATAATACTGAGTATTCTTGATTCTGTTTGGGAAGAATATTCAAGTGAACAGAACTTAACAGTTTTGGAAAAGTCAGCAAAATAAAACTACCACTTATGACTTCTTAATCCCATATATATTATTGCCATGATAATAGTTTGAGGCGAATAATTTCAGAATTGTGTTGTTTTCACCTTGGGGTGTCACTAGCCTTCTGATAATGAAGTTAATATTTGGCTAAAGTTAAACACATAGTTGACGTCACAAGCCGTCGAAAGGTCACACATTCAAACGCATGCAACTTGTATGATTGTCTGTTATACGTCGTCATATTTCAACATATGTAGGGAATTTACCGGCAACTGGACCGCAACAGGCTTCGTATGAGATGTGTTGATGGTTACACTGGAGCTATGATATAGGAAACTTGGCATTTCAACCAGGCATTATCATCATATGCAATATTTCACCACGACGCAAGCAGCGGCATGTGTTTCTAATCTGTCATGACGTCATCATATTTGAACGCGACATACATATCCTGTACTGATTTGTGACTTGTTAGAAAACCATTTATACCTTTCAGACTCACGGTAAGTAGGTTTGTCTCGCTTTCTATATTTCCCCCTTTTTCCGTGTTCTTTGCAACGTTTCAAAAATTTCGTATTAATACCGTACCAGGCAGCATGCGTTCAGTTCATAATTGTTGGAAAACACATATCACAAATATTGAACGCAAGGTCACGTGATTTTATCTCTAAAAATGAAATATAGTCGAAATAGTGAATTTTAAAACACAGAACATGTATATGATTGTTAGCGATGCGATAAAACAACAATCAATTGGAAAACAATTGTCAAATTTATCGGTTCAAATATTGTTACCTCACCATCGTGAGTATATC